GGCGGTAGTGGCGGCCGAGCCTCGACGTCGATCTCATATCCTGGCGGACGGGGCGGAATCGGCGGCGGGTTGGCCATTATTCGGGAGTTCGGAGGAGTTCAGAGTCTATCGACAATACCCAAAACAGCAAGGAGATGCGCCCTCGCTTTCTATGAATTCTTGACAATGAATCTAAAGAGGTTGATCTACACAGAGCGACAAGAGGATACAGTTTGGGAAGTTCGCGACGTTGGCGCCGCCCTCCGCCATTTTATCATGGCGCGGTAGTTCAAGAGCCTCAAGGGTCCCCCTCAGGCTAAGGGGGGCCTCCTCTATTGTCCACGGCATCCATCCAACGAGCTGTCAAATCTGCCCTGTGGCCCCCGGCTCTTCATGCCTCGAAGAGGACGCCTGCCATCAATAGTCCAACTCAGCTGCAGCGGGCCTAGTCCGGACTGGCTCTAGAGAAGCGGAATTATTGACAATTTGACGGCCCATTCTAGAACGGCTGGGCCTGTTTTTAGGCTCGCAACACCAGACGAACGCTTTCCGCTCCCAAACCACATCAAACCCCTGTGCAGGAGTGGGATGGGCTGGCTCGCCGGATAGGCCTAAATAGGCGTGAGGAGCGACGTTGAGAAAGACAATTAGATGGTGGCGTCTTGCTCGAGAGGCTTAGTTCTCTGGCCTGTTCGCTTGACTCGCCGAAATAAGCGATGCGATGTTGTTATTGGCGGTTTATCACTGATAATCCACTATGCCAAGCAACCCAGCCGCTGCTGGCACCAGTCTACACCAAGCTTTCGTGATCACGATGGGCTCGGACTTGCATGAACAAGGCAGCTTGGGGGTGACATACCAGGGAACATGGAAACGCCACGCGATCAACAGCTTCGGTGGCTGAGATGCCTTCTTCGTAACGCCTTCATTATCATCCAATACAGTAGCTTATTATCGAACCATGCTCCTTAATCAATACACGTCAACTATCATCATGCTGCCCCTCATGTTCCATATCCCAAGGCCCTGCCTGTACCATTAATGTAAACCTTTTCAAGACATCGACCCCATCAACGCCTGTGTCACCCAATGCTATTCACACCATTTTTGATGTTCTTTGAGACCATCATGCAAAGCTGTCTTCTGCATGCCATCTGCTCTCCTCCATTGTCCCATTCTCCTTTGGATCTTCTACTCCCTCATAGTCGGTAGGATCAATCCTAGTCCCGTCCTTGTTTAGTACAAGACCTCGTGCTGCTAGTTCTTTCCATATCGAGTCTTTGACCTCACAGATATCTCTCCTGAGACGCAGCCCGTCTAGCTTTTTCAGCCATTGGCACCTCTCTACAAATACGTGCTCATACAGCCGCCTGCGAATTCTAGTGTCGAGGTCGAGCCGGTTGCAATACGTCGCATCTCTCTCGGCGTCGGCATCTGGCAGTCTGAACAGATCCACAGCATCAGCGGTATCCCCGTGGACGAGCACCTGCAACGGAGCGTAGAAGCCTTGAGTTATCGGGTTGTCCCGCAGGTCGACTTCAGACAAAAAGGGAAACTCGGCCATGACCTCTACAACTGATAAGGAATGTGCGAGGCGATTGCCAGCAAGCAGCAATCGCTTCAACCGGGGAATGCAGCGCAAGCAATTGATGTCCGTGAGCGCATTGAAGTTGAGGTTAAGTGCTCGTAGGTTAGGCATCATCTCGCCAAGATCCTCGGGCAGAGACTGCAAGCCGCAGTTGGCGAGATCTAGAAGCTGGAGACTGAGGAAATCAATCCGAGGATCAAAAGCTTCGAGGCGGTTACCAGACAAGAATAGTTTCCGGACCTCATAAGCACTTTGAAGAAAAGACATGTCAAGGGCCGTGGGCCCTCGCTGCTCCCTTAAAGACAATGAGTCTAGGCGTCGAACCTTGGACAAGCCTGTGAGCCTTGCAATACAATTGCGGTCCGCATGTAGAAGCTTGAGAGATGGCATAAGTCTAACATCAAGGCTGTTGAAATTGTTGTCGGTGATTGTGAGCCGCCTTAAAGACGTCATCGGTTGTGCCTGGTCCAGTTGCAAATCATCCAGTTGATTTCCTTTGAGATTCAGAACCTCAAGAGAGCCAAGTTGGTCTAGGTTCTCCAGTTTTGTAATCCTATTTCCCTCTAGGTCGAGCTCCGTCAATCGTTGTAACGCCGTAGCATCGAAGTCGACGGATTCAATCAGATTTCCGCGAGCTCGCAACGCCTGCAGCCCATCATGATACAGAATACCATCTAGGGATGTCAGGTTATTGTTATCAGCAACCAGACCCCGCAGATGTACCATGTCTCGGAAGACAGATAGACTCTTGATGTCGTTGTTTGACACATCCACATACTGCAAGTTCATCAGATGACCCCATGATGTCAGGTCTGATAGGTGATTGTTGGTGATCTTGAATTCGCGAACAGAGGTCGGAACTCCATCGAGATTACGGATCACATTATCGGATGCATCCACTCTGACCAGACTGCCACAAAACTCATTCAACATGTGAAGGCTGGAAAGGCGCTTATTGTGAATGTCAAGCTCTTTCATGTCTTCCCAGTATGGCTCAAATGGCTCTACCTCAGACAATCTGTCCACCAAATCTCTCACTGTCAAGGACATGGTTTTCTTAGATCCTTCACCAGTAATAAGATGGTTGTCACCGACCACGTAGCTAACCTCAAGCCCATAAGACTGGTCGGGTTGCGCAGTGTAGTCTGAGAGAGGAGTAAGCGAAAGCGTCCCAACATATTGCCCAATGATATGGGCATTCTCGGGCCTTGGATGGGGGCTCGGGCGAGCTGGAGTGGTAACGATCAAGCTGAGGCTGGTCTGCCTCTGATCGGATACAACAGAGCCCAGAGCGCTGTTGTCCCGTACGAGGCTGACCTCACGGGTATTTCGTGAGGCGGTCTCTGGCCTAGAGTCTTCATCCTGCTCATCAATGCGGGAAACTGGGCGAGGCATGAACGCCTGGCTTCTGACAGAATGGTGTCGAGATGGGTGCCTGGAGTTGCTTCGCGACGTCGCCGTTTCGTTTCTGGTCGATGACTTGATTGATATAGTTCTTCGTCCACGTTGCGACTCGTTTTGGGACAGGTATCCATTGATCGATGACTCCCCCGAAGTTGACGTATCCTCTTGCTCATCAAAATCTCCCCGAACAGCGTCCTGGATTATTGAGGCAATTGGGGAAGAGAAGCTGATTGTCAAGTTCCTGCGCTTCGGAGAAGGTGAGTTTAACCTGTCTTCATGGATAGTTATCTCATGCTCGACATCTTCATCATCAGTCTCTACGAATTTTCGCATCATTTTGCTCGGCGACCGTAAATTCCCAGCCTTTTGAGTCAGCTTGGTATCAGTGCTTTGGATCGATTCTGTGGTAGTGACTACAGCCGTCTCTTTCACGACGGTAGTTCTTGTCGACTTGAAAGGACTAGCGCGAGAGACGTCCGGTGAATCATCCTCTGGGTGAACATTGGTCTTGCGAGCAGTTGGGAGGTTGAGATTCTGCATCTCCCTAGTGGCATCGACAGAGAGGTCGGGGATCTCTGCGAAAGGATCACCCTCGCTGCCCTCTGATGGTAGAATGTTGCTTACCCTGTTGCGAATTGGGCTCTCAGATTTCTTTTTTATCCATATATTGCGTTCTCTGTCCAAGAACATATTGCCAACCTGATCAGGTATGAGATGAGACACGCTTTCAGGGGCAATCGTTTTCCTCGTCTCCGAACTTCGAGACGAGCCAGTCGGAATAGAACGCGCAGTAGATGTTCCTGATGCACTTGAGCCATTGGAAGGGAACCGGTCATCAATACTTTGAGGCCCGTCTGGAACAGCTTTTTTTCTCCGACGACTGTCTGTAATCCGTATGTTCGGGGGATCGCTGACAATCTCGCTATCCTCAAGGTTGAGCTTTGCACCATGACTGTACATGGATGCTTGCCTTCCTTGAGATGCTTCAGTGTTACCACCTCGGAGAGCTTCCTGAGCTAAGCCTAGTGATCTGATGGATGAGGTGATTATGTCTCCCATATCACTACGCTCTTCGTACTTTTTGAGACGGCTCGCGAGCTCCGGGTCTTCCTGCCGCGTTGACATCCAAGTAGCTGGGCGCCCTTCGCGACTTGGTGGCCTTGAGAATGGCTCCTTTGTAGATTCTTCGAAAGAATCCTCCACGTTTTCGGCATTGGCCTGTTGTCCAGCATTTTCTGCCTCGGATTCTTCAACACTTGCTAGACCGCTCTGGAGTCCAGCTCTGCCGCGTATCATTTCCATGATCTTATTGGCTTCATTGATGAAATCTTCTGTCTTGATTGAAGGCTTTCGGTCCGTTTCAAGTACGACAGCCATGGATCGCACAACTACTTTTTCCGATTCATTTTGTATTTCAATATCATCGGTCTGTGTAAAAGTACCTTCTTCATAAGGATGATCTTCTCTCTGAATTGATAACCTCTGACTAGGCGTGGGAGTGCGCGGCCGTAGAATTTGTCGTTGAGCAAGGACACTGGCATCGGCAAGTTGTTGAAGGTCGCCGTTGCGAGCATCCTTCCGCTTTCGCCCTATGATGGATTGCATTTGTTTGTGAGTCAGCTGAACTGAATCGATAGCAGCGTCGTCGACCCCATATGCTATGTCAGATTTATGGAGAGTTCTACGCCGCTTGGGTGTAGGATCTTTCGAAGGGGAAGTTCGTGGCCGCTTGCTCTCCGACCCACTGTCGCGCTTTTGAGGGGTTGCGAGGACTTCAGGAGCGCCGCGTGATGAAATAGCAGCATGTGAGTTGACTCCACTATTGTCTCTCGAGTGCTGCCCGTTAGACCATTGGGACGAGGTTGCTGTTGTTGATCTCTGTCGTCGTCTTTGAATTCGAAGGATATCTTCCTCCTGCGGCAACGAAGCCTGCCGATAATTGAAGATTGGCGCCTGACTCTGCGTAGAGTCGTCTTCTGGACTTTGGGTTTCTTGATCATGCTCCGAGTTGTCGTTTGAGTTGTATGAGAAGTCTTCATCAAACACATATCCGTCCAGATGTCCTGCGCCGAACTGACTGACAGATCTCGAAGATGACTGAGTCTTTTCAGGATGGCTTCTGAACGCCTGTGAATCTGATGCATCTTTACTTGACATTTCCAAGGCATGCTTGTTGATAACACTTCCACGACTGTCGCTACCAGATGCTTGAGAGCTATTTTGTTCCTCGAATTGGCTGATACGTCTCAGTAATGTCTGGTTCGTGAAAGTATCATATGGGCCAAAGAGCTTTAGGGGACTTCCAGAGCTGCCTTGACCATGCTGGGCTCGCTTTTCGGGGCTCGGATGGGGTGCCCGGGGCAATGACGGGCTTTGGGAGAGGAGGTGTTCGATATCATCTACTGGATCATTTATGCGGAGAGTCGGAAACTGCTTTGGGGTACTAGCCTGCAGAGATTCCTCAGGGAGCATTTCCGAAGTATCATTCCCGATCGGTGGACTCAGCGGTCGGTGACGGAATGAGCCGTCTGCCGAGCGACCACCTCGGCGGAAGTTGATGAAACCACCGAGCTTCTCGTAGTCTTCTGTATTCTCGATATTATAAGACTTCGCTTCGGCGTTTGTTGCACCATCACCCATCTTGCTAAAATCACCACTGGCCAAGACCATCTGGTTTCTTCGCAGTTTTTCGAGGCGTTTCTTGAGCTCATCCGGAGGTAAATCCATGGGTGCAAAACTGACTTTCCCGTCCTGCGAATTATGACGTGAAATTAAGATCGGGCTAAAGTCTTCATTGCGAACGACACTTTGTCCGCTGACTTTTCTGGACTCGTCTTGTTGTTGGTTATATTGATATAGCGATGTTTGGGAAAATTGCGAGTATCCTTGTGCGACCGCGGCCTCGTCTCCGGCCTCGTTTCCAGCCTCTTCATCTATGGAATTGATTGAAGACTGGTCGCGCTCTTCAGGTATCTCATCCATCCTTGTGTACTTCACATTTCGAGACTTTTCGAGATGAACTTCACCAGGTAAGGTCTGCATCACTGATTCATCAACATGAATGTCGAACGTTGAATTGCCTTGGCCGTAAGGAGGGGGGCTCGACGGCATTGTCGACTCGTGTTGTTGCCGGTGGTCTTCATCACTCTGTTCTCCAGTCGTACTTCGAGGCGCCGAGGGTGGCCTGAAGATATCCTCCAATCCTGTCCCGGCTGATGTAAATAAATCGCGCTGATCTCCGTAGGGAAGATTGCCTTGCAGAAGCCTTCGTCTCCATTCCGGAGTATGGCCCTTGTCTTTCGCTGGGGACGCGCTCTGTGACTTGTGCTGTACTGTGTTATGAACCACAGAGCTGATGGACGAAGCTGAGACGGAGCGACTCGTAACACGACCGCGCTCCGTGGGCTTGATTTCTTGTGAAAGTTTCGAGGGAGAGCGTAGCGAAGCTATCGGGATGTTGATGTCGTTCTGGCTTCGTTCGCTTAAAATATTGCTATTGTCGTGTGTTGCCGAGGGTATTTTCCTACTTCCACTGCCGAAACGCGGTATCTTACTGCCGCTGGATCGGAACTTAGAAGGGGTTGTACCGTTCCTTGTCGCGCTCCCCGCGGACTCGCCAGGCGGTGGAGATGCGTCAGATCCAGGTTGGGAAACCCAATCCTCTGAAAGGGAGTCGAGCCACGCGTGGTCCATGGCTACTGTATATGTTAAGATAGCGGATCACTGAATGATCAACTCTGCGACTCCACATCCATGAAGAAAAGATACAAAATAGACAGGCGAGACTGTTGAATTGCGGGGTGTAAATGCTCGTCGAAGGATTAAAGTAAACGGTGAATTGGCTTAACCTTGAGGATTGAAAAGAATGAGGAAATGAGAGTATTCGCGTGATATAGAAGCGAGGCAATTCCCATACGCAATGGAATTGAGGCTCTGTATTGGAGCGGTGGTCGTTACCTCTTTCGATGTTTCTGACCGGCGCCGGATCGCGTCTGGACCGTTTTGCGAATCCTAACGAAAACATGTGGCACTTGCTCTGATTGGCGAAAACAATGGTTGTCGTGGCAACCTTGGACCTAAGTCCCCCAAGCGTCACTTGGTCCGTGCGGGGCCGAATCTCAACCGACTACCTTGTCAGTGGTACCTCAGTACTTACCCAAGACACAAAGGGTCTGTAGCTTTAGGGTTCTTCAGATGATTTGCTTTCCGCTTTGATGCGTCGCGAACGAATGGTGGTTGACCCTCGTAACTTGACCTTATTGCTGAAATCCTGCTAGTAATTCTCAACAGAAACGGCTTTGTGCTAGGGATTGGCAGCGCATCTTGCTCAATCATGTGATATATCACGCTTAATTCACGTGGAGGCGCGTAAAGTGCTTGCAGCTGCCTTGGCGCGTTGCCCCGTGTCGACCGCGATTTCCCAAGTTTGGGCAAGCAGCGCTGGCCCGAGCGTTCGCCAGGCGACTGAACCTCAGTCTTTCAGCCTTTGACGACGACATCCACATCCTCCACCCAGCGATGACATACAC